TCAGTATATCATTTAAATCATTTAATATCAAATTATTTAATTTTAATTCATTATAAAATTACATTTTTAAATTTTATAATTTTGAATATTAATTTTTATAATTTGTCAATGAACTGAAAATCAATCATTATAATTAATGTTTTCTTTTTGATTTTCATTTCTATCAGTATTTGTAAAACTAATTTTTTTGCTATATTGTAAGTTGCAAAACTACTATAATTATTATTCCTAACAAACATTTTAATGAAAATTAAATGGAAAATTACATTTTTAATAACAAAAAATATAAAAATATAAAAAATGAAGTTATTTTTTTGTTTTAATCATTTAAAATTTAAAATATTTGAAATAAATATATGCAACAAACATTAATTCATTTTTTAAAGCAATCACCAATCAATATCTATTTCTCTATATTCAACATTAATTTGCTTTCTCGTTTCACAATATCATAAACAGAAGAAAAGACAGTATCTTTCTTATTTTCAAAGCTCAATTTCATCAAACAACCATGTTAAGTCTTACCAAATCGGTCTCAACTAAGGATTAACTGATGAAAGAAGTATACAGGTATCGAGAAAGGGAAATGAGCACAAAGGTCAACGGGATTCCTATGCCAAATAAGTTCTGGGGAAAAGAAGCATTCCATATGGCGGTATAATTTGTTGATTGTGGAAATTATGCATTATTCTCATCTGATATTGCACGATCAGAAAGCTGTAATCATTTTTTATACTATACGAGTGGAGATGGTACAAATAGCATAACTGTATGTACGGATCCTCTGCTCGGGAGTGATGGGGGAGAGCAAACCGACATTTTTATTCTAATGCGTGCTCACCGGCTGCGTTCACCAAGGTAAACGCGCTCGGAACGTTGGTGAAAATAACAGAGCTCGGTACGTCATATGCCTCTCTATCGACTACACTACTGATTTTACCGTGTGGAAATCGCAACAATACAAGAGATCAATATATATAATGGATTTATAAGTAAGCCTAGTAAATGGACATTTAAAAAATAATTAATTATTTTCTTAAATTTATTTTCAAATAGTTTATTTTAACGTAATTTTAATTGATATAAAATTTTAGTAGAGAAACTATTTTTGATATATATATATATATATATATATATATATACATGTAGTGAATAATATATATAAATGATTAAATGTTATTTTCTATTTTTCAAATATTTTGTTTTAACATAATTTTTGTAATAAATTCTTAAAACTCATGAAAAAATTTCTATATATTATTTTTTTGAAATCTTATTTTTCATTTAACACATTACAATGTAATACCAATAATGAAAGATATATATTTATACAACAAGAACATGACATTTTATATATATACAAAATAACGTTAATATAATTCTATAAAGTAATATAAAATAATATAAAGTTTAAAAAATTAATGTGATATTTAAAACAAATATAATATAAATTTAAATTATTAAGGACGAAATTTTTATTTTACTTTTATTTGAAATCTCACTTATTTAATATCTTTTGATAAGATTTATTAAGAAAAAAATAATAATAAAAGATAAAGGATATAATGTACTAAATAATATATTTTAATTTAGAAGATTTTCAAAAATACAAAGATACAAAGATACAAAGATATATAATCTATATTACTTTTCTTAGATTTTCTTCAATATCTATATGTTCACAATTTCATCTATATATCTTCTAGATAATTAAAATTATTATTAATTGATTGATTATTAAAATTATTATTTAAAACAATATTGCAATTAAAAGATGCCATAAAATTTAATTGCTTATTTTTATTTAACAATTATTTAAGTTCTCAAATAGAGGTAAAAATAAAACATAGAATGCTTAAATAGTTACATTTTGTTTTTTTATATTACATATTTGTTTTAGAAATTTAATATTATATTTGGGTTGCTGCAATTAAAAATACATTAAACACTTGATACATCAAAACGTTATACATCAGACCAAATTATGAATCTAAACAGAGACTTTGGATTAAAAGCAACGCCATGGAATCGACTATTTGAGAAATCCTCAGCGTCATAATGATGGATCACGACGAGTTTTTCTTCTTGGACATCGTCCAAAGATGATATGTACATTTCGACTGTCTCTCCGTGCTAAATCGGGGATATTTGTGTCAATTGATGTCTTTTGACCGTGAATATTTTCTTCACGGTCCACTAAATTTAAATTTTATAAAGCAATGATCTACTGAATCGATTTTTTCTTTCTTTCATTAATTTATCCCAAAATAAAAATCTATCAATATGATCTAATTAATATGAATTAATGAAAGAAAGTTAATAATAAAATTAAAAATACTTCTATATATTCTGTAATAGATGTTCTGTAATAGATGTTTCCATAAATAAAAAATAGGTATATAAATTTTTATATAGATTTTTTAATAATAATAATTTAAAATCCATCTAAATTTAAAAAAAAAAAATTCTGATATGACTTAATCGAAATCTTTCAATAGAAGTCCCTTTTAATATGTTATTATATATATTATCTCACTGAATCTTTGAACATAATTTTCTCTCAAATTATTTGTTTATTCCAAAAAATGTTCTTGGTAGAAAATTTATTTTATTTTATTTATTTTTATTTTATTTTATTTTATAAGATAATATAATTTGATGTAAGCGATATTTTTCTAAGTGGAAGCATAGAATATGTCAACTTTATTTTCATATTATGACATCATATATTTTGATACATATAATGGATGCAAGTGATCAGTTCTTTCAAAAATAAAGAAAGAATAAAGAAATGAATATTAGTGATAGAATATTAATGATAGAATAATTATTAATAAGACTCTAACATATAATTCTTGTTCCTCGTTGAATTAGCAAGAAAGTTTTCCACAGAGGCGATTGGGTTGTTTTTCTTTGAACTTTACCAAATAAAGAATCAGAAGAAAGCTGCGTGCGAACGAAATCGCAGTGTACTTACATTTAAGAGAAAAACGTCTCGTCTCGATCCACGGTTGATTCCTATAAAGGAGAGTGCATACGATTGCGCTGCTGTGCGTGCTCTCTAGTACGACTAAACGCAAAACTCGTTGAGTCGACGACAAGCGCTGAAAATGGGCGCGGCCCAGAATGTCGATCATTCCAAACACACCACAAACTAGAAACACGTTTGGCCGAAATCAAATTGTTTGAGCGATCATAGTCTAACCACGATATGGAAACCTAATAATTTTATAATAAATATTTTTGAACATTTAGAGAAGAAGTTCTGTTTAGTAACTGGATTTTAGAATTTTAGGTTAGCTAGTAATCAAGAAGTATGTTTTTGTTTATAATGAGTGAAGATTTTACAAAGTTTATAGAATAAAGAGATTTATCATTGACGATGAATATGATATGTATTGCTTTGACATATCTTCTATTAATACTTAATCTCATCAGTTGAAATTCCATGAGATTAAATCATTATATGTACGTCATGGAAAATTGAAGACTATACAACTCATTTGTTTTGATGTGGTTACGTGACAAATGAAAATAGTGATTTGTAAAATGTTCCTTATGATACTATTGCACGCATAAATGTAATAAAGCGAAATAAAAAAAAAAAGAATGTTAGAAAATATTTTGTTATATTATTTATCATGGAATAATTCATTAATCCTTTTAATGAAATAAAAGAGAGACTCAGGCAAATTTAATAATAATTATACAAATCTTATTTTAAATGTTAGTATTTGTAACGCAATTATTAAAAATTCATGGATTATAAAAAACCGAAGATATATACTTTCTATATTTAACGCAAAACATTTAAAAAAATAATTATTTTCTATTTTTTTTTGTCTGTTTTTAATTTCTTGTAATTTTATTGTCAAAAAATTAATCGTTTTTTTAATTTAAAATACGTAAAATAGTAATATTTTTCAGGATATCGAGATTTTAAGTGATGTGTTCATATTGAAGCACAGAAGAATGATATAGTTTGCTATAAATGCAATACGGCTTCCTTATAAAATATTTCATAAAAGCTTCATGAGAATATCTTCCACTCAACTGACACTCGCAACGCCCTCGAGAATGAACTTGACCTTCGACCCGAACATTCACCTGTGACAAGGACGACGGAAGTCGGAGAGATTTTACTTCCTGTCATAAAGATGAAAACTATTTTTTAAAAAATCAATCAAACATTCATTGTATATTTTATATATATCATTTGAAAAAATAATTTCAATGATTTACTGCAGATTATTATTTAATGTTTTAATATTTTCAAGAAATCACATTCATATTAATTTGATTATCAATACAGAATAGCAATTTATATTTTCGTTGAAAAATTATAATGGAATTAAAAGAACGAAATAATGAAACAATAAACGAACATTTAAATATATTTACCGTAATTTTTCCATGTAATGCACTATTAATTGAATCATGAAGATCAAGAATAATGTTTCTATATTATTAGGAATTATAGCGCGCATTTTTGATTTGATCCTTTTCGATGCTATAAATTCGAATTTTTAAAATGATGTTCCATCTTGAAATTCATGAAAATTCACCGTAAGTATTTATTGGTATATCTGGGATAGAATCGATGATGATAGTGTTTCCTCTATGAAAATATCGTGAAGAATACCGTCGTGCTCTTCAAACGTTCATTGTTCAAGAATCATATTCTACATACGGATTTATAAAAGTCATCTATGAGGCATCAAAATGGTCATAATGCAATCGCGCAACGGGAAAAGATATTTCGATCAAGAAATTAGGAAAGAAAATATAAGAAATATATTATTAAGTAAAAACGACATATGATTGTGGGATATCTATAATATCCCACAAATAATGGAATTTGGAAGATATAATATAAAAGATATAATAAAAACATGGAAGATGTGAAAAAGCACAACGTGGCATCCTAAATTCTTCCGAAAGATTTCACAACTGTGTCGTAAAAAAAACACTTGTAAAAAAAATAAATTCGATTTACAAACCTGGATTTGGGCGCGTTTAACCTCGGTGTAGAGCCAGTTGTCTGTAGAAAAGGCGATTGCCAAGAGGCCAGTGGCAATGATACCGGTTATGGTCGCGAGGGACAGCGTCACCGCAGAACAAGGCATTTTGGTAACCTCTTCTTCTTCTTCTTTTTTTCCTTTTCTATTTTTCGTCGATTTTCTTTCTAAATTCCACTCTGCTCAAGCGTTACATTCACCTCACACGACACCACTGCAAGCTATAGATATTGAGGAACAAATAGTCGTTGTCGCCCTCCAGACTATCGAGCATCCGTGAAAAAGTGAATCACGAAACAGATCACGAACCATTCAGAACGAATTGGTCCAAATGAGAAAGCTTTCAATTCAATGACCGAATTTGATAACCCGATATATGAAGAGGAAACGAGGAAGAAGAAGAGGACCAATACTCAACGATCGACGTCCTTCAGGGTGCCCGATACTCCGTGATACACATTACTATCATTCTCTCCTACGACAACGACACTAACGGCTCGACTCAGCTTGGAGAAAAGCTGAGAACCGACCAAGGAGAGAGAACCGGACTCCAAGTGGGGATGGATGTAGCCTCAGGCAGGTATATTACCTGTGTTTTACCTTCAGCGGTGCTCAATATGCTGCATCCTTTGTTGAACTATCTTCCTTTCGAGCTAAAAAATAACTCTTCTCTTAATTTGTCAAAATAATAAAATAGCATTTGAAGTAGATCTAAAAATGAATTCCTCTTTTGTGAAATTAATGTTATAACGCGTTTTTTGAATGAACAAGTGAAATGTGATTCTCTTTTAGTGTTTTTGTGGAGATTTCAATGCCTGCATTTCTTTGTATATTTATAAAACAATAAATATCAAATAAAATTTGCTTGAGTAGAAAAAAGAAATTGATTATTAAGTAAAAGCGTAAAAAATATTAAATTTATTATAATAATTAAAAATGTATATTTGTTATCATAAAAAATATTTCGAATATAGATTTGAATATTGAAATAGATAAACGAAAATCGAAGGAATTCTAGAAAATGAGAACAGTTTCGTTATAGCCATTTGTGTGCTTCCATAAAACATTTCTTCCTTGTTCTTTTACCAAACAATCCTATAATATTATAAGATAAAGTTGATACAAACGCTAAGAAAAAGTGTGAAATTCTTTGCATTCTAGAAACAAACCGCGAATCATTTGTTTCTTGTTATTTCATTTAATAATCTTTATATTGCACTATTAATTTTTTTATTATATTGATTTTTAATTTTTTTTATAATTTTAATATTATTTATATTTAATTAATATTGTATATAATATCTATTAAAAATAAAATATAATTAAAAAAAATAAAATTACAATAAAATACAACAAATTTGAAAAACATTTATATATATATATATCTAAGTTTATAAAATTGCAAATATTAGGTATCAATTGTATATATACCAAGAATTTTTTTACTCTCCTCAATAATAAAGATTTTGATTTCTTTTTTTAAATTGTAATAATATAATTATATTTTCATTATTAAAAATATGAAGTACACATAGATATTCATAATATTAGAATATATTTATTGAAGAATACATTTTTTTTAAATAAATATTTATTACAAATAAACAATTAATAATCAAATTTTAATTTATAAAATAAAGTATTTAACATATAATTACAATTAAATAAAAAACGATTGTATATCTACAAAATTCCATAGCTTAATATAGAATTTTATTTATTAATTTATAACAATTAATGAAATAAAAAATGCGTAATAAAAGTGTATCAGTTGAAATTTACTATTGAAGGATCATATTCAGTACCTTCAAAGGGAGATCCTTTTGCATCCCATGCTTTTCTCAATACTTTTTCCATTTTCTGCACAAAAAATATTTTATATTTCAGTGATTATTATTGTGTAAATATAAATTAAATAACTTTTCATATGCTTACAATCTGTTCAGAAGTTGGTTTACCAAGAAGTTTTTGTTGATGATTCCACATCAATTCTTGAACTTTCATTTGTTCTTCTGATCCCATTTCATCCAAATTTCTTGAACAATCTATTTTAGTTAAATCAATTTTTGGTTCACCAATGATCAATGCTTCCCACCATCTCTCAGAAGCTTTTTCAAGATGAATCTATGAATAAAATAAAATTATAATATATATTCTATACAAACATATTTAAAATAGCTTAATTTACATTAATATGTTGTCCAGGTACTATACTCCACATTGACTCATCTTTTCGAATTTTAAAGCATAATTCTCCTTTAAAAATTGTAGTCCATACAAAATAACGACATTCCTCTATTTCCTGATTCTGTTCAACTCTTGATGTTCTAGCTTCTATTTTAATATCTTTTGAATTAATATGAATTCTTAAATCTTTTGCTGTTCTTATACAATTAGGTAGTTTTACTAACACATCTATATCATTAATAGTTTGTGACCAAGTATAATTTTCTCTCACTGCACCATTGTAACTATCAGATGTCTTGTCTTTTTCAAGTAAATGACCAAGTTGATTTGTTATTTGACTTTCTTTATATGTTTCAATTTCTACTTCATGATCAACTTGTGGAATAAGGGAATCTTCTTCTACTGTCATTGATTCATCTTGATTTTTATCATTATTTTGAGAAATAATATCTTGACTGTTTTGAAGATCTATTCTATTAGAAGATTTAGAAATATTCTTCCATTTATGAAAACTATATAAAACAAGTTTTTCTACTGTATCAGTTGGAAAACCAAATTTTTGATCTGGTCCCGATTCAACATAAAAATCTGTACTATAATTAAATTACAATAATCATAAATTATATATTATAAAAATAATATTTACGTTTATATTATAGTATATTGTATACTTACCATCTATATAAAAATCCGAAAAATGCATCTAAAAAGTTTGTAATATTTTTTTCTTCTTGTAAAATTTGCAAAAATGCTTCATCATGAACAGAACACATTACGGAGTTCTTTTCAAATATTTGTTGAATGATATTTTAATTCCAATAATCGTTTTTTTTATTAATATTTTAATATTAGTAAGTATACTAACTTATTAAAAGTCAATGAATATATTTTTCAATAACAGATTGTCTTTCGTTTACAAATTATTTGTATATTATTAACTTATTATCTTAAATAGGTTATAGAAAGTATTCTTTAAGATATATTGTTTAGAAATTTTGTTTATTTTATTAATATATTATAATTCACAACTATTAACTATATTTCGTCTTTATAACATAAATTTCCATTGTGTAATAACTAAAAAAAAACTTTAACACATATATACTTTCTTTTATAATTTCAGACTTTCTATTTTTTAGATTCATGTCATGAAATTGAATAATAAGTTGACAAGTGACATAAATTCATCATAAGCGCCCTCTTCGTTGGATCATTGAATTAAGTACATTATTTACATATTTTGGCATGTTCTAAGAATAGTGACAAACAAATTATATACGATATGTTTTAAAAATGAAAAGAAAAATATTATAAAAGAAAAATAAATATGTATTCATATTTATAAAATAAAACAATTTTTTGTACAATTTTATATTATAAAAATTTTACAAATTTTAACCTATTCTTTCAACCGAATCGATATATTTGGAATTGGATTATTTACATTCTTATATATTTCAATTATATGAAACTTCTTTACAATGACTGGTCTGCCTATTTTTACTCCAGAAATTGCAAAAGGTATTTAAATTTTACAATTTAGCATTTATATTTTAAGTATTTTTTTCAAAAATAATAAATAAGATGACTTTCAGCTGTTTTAACCGACATTCTGACAGCATTGAATACTCCAGAAAATACTCAAAAACTTACAGAAGCTAAAGAAAATTCTGGAAATGAAATGCTGAAAATGATGCAATTTGTTTTTCCAATTGTTGTTCAAATTGAAATGGATGTTATTAAGAACTATGGTTTTTCAGAAAGTAGAGAAGGTAGAAAATATAAATATATTTTCATTTCAAAATGAATATAATTTTTATTATTAATTTATTATTGCTTTTATTTATAGGTACAGTTCAATTTGTAAAATTACTTAGAACTCTAGAAAGGGAAGATCCTGAGGTAGCACAATTACATAGTCAAGTTCGGTCATATTTTCTTCCTCCAGTTCTGAATTCTCATATAAATTGTTCAACTGAAGCTTCTCTTTAAAATATAATTTCAATATACAAATATTTTAGTTTGTATTTTTTTCCTCTTTATAAAACAAAAATTATTTATCATAAGCAATAATTATAGTATTTAATTCATAACTTCACCATAATTTCAAATGCATTTAAGTTTTTGCAATTTTAAAGCAATTTTATAATTACTTTGATATATTGTTATTAAAATTTACTATATAAAAAAAAAGATAATATACAAGGGATCTCCAAATTAAATATTTAATCAGAAAAATTAAAAATTTTTACATTTATTTGTATAATAATAATATTAATAATGATAATAATATAATCTACTAAAATATATAATTTCATTCATAAATGTTCATTAAATTTTCTTTGCACTTACACCAATTCTAAAAACTAAACAATATTCCATTGTTCGCGTAAAAATGAAGTTTGTACATTATATCATATAAATAAAATTATAATATAAAAAATTAAAATATTTTCATTGATATATTATAATATATATATATATATATATATATATATATATATATATACACACATATATCATTTATTGAGTATATCAGAAAAAATATTTGAAAACATATAATATTAAAATTACATTCAATAAATATGACATATATTTTTTCTAAAAACTGTGAATATAAGATTACTAATATATTTTCAATTTTGAATTGATTTAGATTCCATTATAATTCTAACTTCATTATTTCGCGAACATCTGGAGAAATACGCAATTAACTATACAATTTCAATCATATAAGCGAATATGTTGAAAATGCATAATAAAACAAAATTAATTATTAATACAACAAAGAATAATACAATGGAATTATTTAAGCAATATTTACTTAACAAAATTTTAATCGTGCAACTCATGTCTAATTTACTTAGGTTTAAGCAGACAAATACAAGTTCCCCTTTGTCAATCAATAAACGTATGAAATCGTTTTTTATATAAAATTGTAAAATGCATAAATATTCTTAAAAAGGAAATGCTGAAGTTTATATTAAGATTAAAGCGAAGTAGTTTTTTAAAAGTTATTAATAAATATGTATTGATTAACAACTACCATCTTAAAGAAATGATTCATATTTTTTCTTTATGGAATCAATGATGGTCATAAACGTGAAAAATATTCACAATATATAAAATAATAAACTCAGCAATTTCCTCAGAAACTAAGAAATAATTAGTTTCTAGTTTTAAGTTTTATTTAGAATATTCTACATATTGAAGGAAAAGATTTGACAGTTGGGGAACAATATGCTAACATATTTACAATTTTTTTTTTATATAAATCAAGGTACAATTGTAAATCGTTTTGCGTATAAAGAAAGCTAATGCACTTCACATTACCCTTTATTTTCATGTTGGTTCATTAAGTTTGACAGTCGAACGAATAAAGACACCGCGTTAAGAATTTCTTTAAGAAATTTCTAGAATATTTATAGAAACCAACATAAGCATTTTAATATTTTAATAAGTCTCCATGAAACAATAAAACGCATCGATTTATCCATTTATAGAAAAATGCATATTAATTACGGCTGTGTTTGGTTTTCTTTAGTGCATGAAGCCTATGCGTATATCTTCAATAATTATCCAAACCAAATGCATAAAATTTCATAAATAAATTTAACTTGTACATGTATATGTACTTCAATAATATTAGAAGATATAATTATATGATATAAATATTTTGCAGCTATAAACTGCATAACACAATTGTTTCATCTGCAAGTAATCAAGATATTAAACAATGAAAAGTAATGAATTAGCAAAGACATATACTAGCATTTTTCTTGCAAGATGAGTATTAGTCATAAAAGGCATGCCATGACACCAATATTTTTACGAATCACAATCAATGCATGTCACATTAAGCGTAAAACATAAATTGAAAAACCCTGTTCGATATAAATTACTCCTGCAAATCACGACAGTCTCATAATCTCGTTAGCTATAGAAAAGCATGTATATAAGTATAAAATAAAAGAAATAATCGTGATATCAATTAATCAATTATAATCTATAGCACAATGAAAATCTTATTCAATAATCTATTACGAATTCAAGATGCACTTAAAAAATATATTATAAATGGAAAAAGTTCTTATAAAATTTAGTTATACCTTGAAAGCGTTTAAATGTTCAAAATTGAAATTTCTTTTTAAATTTTTTATTTATTATATATTACCTTCTCTTTTTAAATAATTTTTCCTTCATCGTTAATATGTAATAAAATATAAATTATATAATTGTAACACATATTAACATTTTCATATAAATATTATAAGTTATAGATTTTCAATTATATGTAGAAATAAATGTTAATGTTTACAAATATAGTTATCTGTTGCATTATTTATCATCAGTCCAAAAGAATTAAACTAGTTATATTAATGTATTTTTTAAAGTTTCCCTTTGTCATTGATTAAGATCAGAAAGGAAACTAAAATGTTCATAATAAATATTTTACTTTGATTAGACATCATTTATATCTATTTATCATTTTTTATATTCAAGTAAAACTATTTCGTAATGAGTGAGAAACTTATACCGTACAGGGTTATCGTTAAAAATCTTGAATACATTTTAAACCACAGTGCTCTTGATTTTCGACTGACACATTCAACGATTATCACCGAGCTACGAAAGGAACGGATTCGCTGTAGTAGTTGTATTCGCTGCCCAAGGATCTTGTCGAATCTGATTAATTGTAGGACGAGGTGGCGTTGTTGCCGTCGCAAATGGATTTGCCGAATATGACATTGTTGCTGTAAATTTTTGTTTACATTAATTTATATTATTCTATAATTATAATGATTAATATAATATATTATATTCCATATCATGTACTTAATTTTTTAATTTAATATCAATATAAATAATCACAATTTCAAACAATTTACAAACAAATCAGAAATATAATTTATAATAATAATAATATTAAAAATTTATAGATAACAATTTTTGCTTTTAGCATACATATTTGTTTTAACAATACTTATTAAAACTTGACTGAAATTTGATGATAAAAATATGAAAACGAACATGAAAACTGTAATCAAAGAAAAAAGATAAAAATTTCATTTTTACAATATATACAATATCATCACAATTTTTCTAATATATTTATCATTTTTTGCTGAAAATAACAACTATGTGAAATATAATGAATGAAATGATTTCAATATCATAATTAAAGCATGCATCCATGCAGTATTGTTGAAAGTACATCTTGAAAGTACTCACGAATTTATTTCCAATGAAATGCTGTTTTACAGACAGAATATATTACAAATAATATAACACATTGTTTATTTTTATATAAGACTCATAATATATTCGATTAAAATTATAATAAATTAATCTAATCATAAAAATTTTATTCTTTCATTAAGCGATGATATATGCATACAATGATATATCTAAAGATCTATAGATTTCAATATTTTAAAATTACGCCTTTAAATTTTATATGATGTATGATGTAGAATTATATTTGAAATAAATTGTTACCTGCAGGTGTAGGCGTTGTTGATTTGATCGCAGAAGAACTGACAAGATTATCAAGATTAACAAGAGCAGAGTTCTCCCCAAGGAACGATTGTGGTGTTTTTTTAACAGCTCCTGTACTAGTGGGAAGAGTTTCAGCTATGCCTCCCAAATCAAATGGATCTGGTGATAGTGTACTTGCTACAATTGATTTAAAAATATAAGATATTAACATAATTTATAATAATAAATAAATTTACTAATAATTCATTAATAAATACCATTATTTGTAGTTTGCAGACTAGATCCAGGCTTATTTCTGTTAGTAATTACATCGAATTCATCTAAATCGCTTAGTGGACTGGCTACAGAATTGTTTTGATTTCCAATAGGGAAATTATTAAGACTAGGACCAGTTCCATTAAAATCATTATTAGTTGTATTGAATGTAGCATTTGAAGTCGTAGGCAAATTAAAACCTATATTTTGTGGCGATTGTGCCGCAAAACCAATATTTTGTGTTAAGGTAGGATTGTTAAAAGATGGAGAAGCAGATGTCATACCATCTCGGCTAGCCTAAATAAATTCATTATGCATATATAAATGACCATAATAAAATTAATTAAAAAAAATAAATATCTTACTTGTTTTTTATTTGTATCAACTTCAGTAGTGATAGCAGTAGTACTAGTAGAAGGTATTGGTGACCATGGATCTGTATTAGGTGAAGTTGTAACTGTTACAGGCGATGAAGGAGGTGCTCGCCATGAATCAATTGTAGCAGCTGAAATCAAATTATAAATTAATTATGAAGCCACTAGAAAAGATAAATTGTAAAATCGCTTAGTTTTTGATCAAATTAATTTTTTTAAATAAATTTTACTTGATTTTTGTGGTACAGGAGTCCATGGGTCTATTGCAGGTGACGTAGTACTTGTTGTAGGAACACTCCATGGATCATTTTGTGGCTATATAACAAATGAAAATATATAAATACAAATTTCTTCTACTTTTAATAAGTTTTTATGCAGTTTATGAACATAATATTTAATAATTATATTCAAACATACCTTATATAAATAAAATTGAGATAAATCCAAAGACTATTATGTAACATGCAAAAGATACATAATGCAACATTTATCATGCAATAAGCAAATTAGAAAAACTTAATTAAATTTAAAATAACATACTTGAGGTCTGGGTGGAGGTGGTGTTATTGGTATACCCCAAGGATCAGTTTTTACATTATATCCACATGCTTCTTCTAAATTTACATCCAGCAAATCTAGCATATGACTTTGTTTCTCAGTTTGAGGTGCTCTGAAATTAATTTTTTTAGATAAAAACAAAAAATAGACTATATAATTATAAAAAATTAAACCTTATATAATTTATATTAACTTAAAATCTTGTTGACTTTGACTAAGAGCTAATTGTAATCTGACATCATCACTACGTCTTCTTTGTTCTTCTTGTTCTGCTTCTTCTCTTGACATTGCCAAAGCTAATTGTAACTGTAATTCTTCCTCACCTACTG